AGATTTAGAGGAGTATCTGACAGACAGCAATTTGTGGAATAGTGAAAGATAAATCCCTCATTTTGGAGTTGACCATTAGTTACAGTGTAGTCCCTCCCCTTAGCCCAGTGCCTTGACCCACTTATTTGCCAGCTCCACCCTCCAGCAGGATACCACTTCACTTCTACCAAATGCCTTCAGAATTAATTAATCTCCCATTGTCCAACCCAGGACCTGACAGCTTGTCAGAGAGATTTTTTTCTTCTTCTTCCTGTGTCCAGTGTCTCTTAAGTTTACTTGTACTGTCTCCGAAGGGACAGTGATATGTCCTGGAGGTGTGTCAGAAGCTATTGTGTGAGTCCTCTGCGTTGCCTGGTCTCTGGTCTCGGCTTGGGCCCGCACCGCTTCTCGATATTAATGATATTGTTTGATAATTTCCACATTCAATTGCATCACCCTTCTTGGAAATGGGAACAAATATAGACCTCTTCCAATCCATTGGCCAGACAGCCATCCTCCAAATTTCATTGCATAGACTGGTAAACGCAATCAAGGCTGCATATGTTAACTGAAACAAGTCAATTGGTGTGCCATCAATTCCTGGGGCTTTATTTTTTGCCAATACCTTCAATGTAGCTTCCACTTCCTCTTTCATTACCATTGGTTCCTGTTCTTATGGCACTTTCTGAAATTTTTCAGTGTCAATCAATTCTTTCTGGTACAGTGACTCTGTGTATTCACTCCACCTTCTTTTTAAAAAAATTTATACTAGTTTATTTACAATGGTTTTTTTAAAAAAGACCCTTTGTAAATAAACCACATATATATATATATATATATATATATATATATATATCTCCAAAAAAAGGGGGCACTGATTAACAGTAAATAATTATATAAAACAGAAGGTGTATAACACAAACAAATGCTGGTAAGGATGTAGAGAGTTTGGAACTCTCATTCACTGCTAGTGGGAATGTAAAATGGTACAAGCACTATGGAAAGCAGTAGGCACTTTCTCAAAAAGCTGAAAAAGAAATACCCTCTGAACCTGCTACCTTACTACTGAGGATGTACCCTCAAGAAACCGAGGCTGTGATGCAGGCAGATGTATGCACATCCCTCTTTACTGCAGCATTATTCACAAGAGTGAAGAGAAGCAAGCAACCCAAGTGCCAGTCAACAAATGGACAGAAAGATGGTTGTACATTCATATAATATTATGCAGCACTAAAAAAACCCCATAAAACACTACAAAACATAGATGGGTAAGACATTATGCTGAGTAAATATCTCTGTCACAAAAGGACAAATACTGTTATAAATATAGGATGGACACAGGGGAAGGGGCAAGAATGGTTAGATAATGAACACTATTTTGGGATGAGAGAGAAGAGGGACTATCTGAAGGGGATGGATGATTAGCCATAATGTGTACATCAATTGACAATCTGGAACAAAACATGTATTACAAAGTGAAACCCATAATGTATATGAATGATTGCATAAAACACAATGTACATGAATAAAATAATTTTAAAAAAAATAACCCAGAAACAGAGAGAGAGAGAGAGAAAGAGAGGAGAGAGAGAGAATCATTTATACAAGAATACCGTGGTTAGGAGTTACATTGCCAACCCAAAAGGTAAGCAGTTCAAAGCTGCTCTTCAGGGAAAGATATACCATCTCCTCACCTGTGATTTACAGCCTCTAAAACCCTGCTGGAGAGTCAGCTGTGAGTCAGTTCAGACTCACGACAATGAGAAACCATACATTCCTGCTAAGAGTTTAGAAACAGCTGCAGGTACACTTCCATTAGGGAAACAGATAATTCTATTTTAAATAGATGTTCAAGCTTTAAGCAAAACCAAACTACACTGGATGCCCCTCTTGCCATTAACAGCCATGGATTCCCAACTCCAATTTCCAGAAGGCTCCAATATCCCTCCAAGGCAGCACCACCACCAGCCTTAACCCACTAGCACCTTCCTCTCCAAATATCTACGTTAGTTTCTTTGACTTTCACCACATTCCTATGGAAGCCGCAGGGAGGACATAACCTATAGAAGAAGGTTCAGAAACCTAGTACTGCTCTTAATGAGTCATGAGTGTAGGTTTTCTCTAAGGCTCAAGTTCCTCCTCTTTAATAGAAACCACCAAGCATAGCACCATTTTGGAGTTTTGTTTTTGTTGTTTGTTTTTCTGAATGGATAAGAAGGGAGATTTGAGAGGGGGAGGGAATAAAAGTCATAGATCAAGAGTAATTAAGTATACAATAAGACATATAAAAAAGTGATTGTTTAAGTGAAAAAATTAGAACTGAGGTGCAAATAGAGATTCATACACCGCTGTTCATAGCAGCATTATTCACAGTCATCACAAGAACATGGAAATAAGTGAAATATTTAACCACAATCGAATGGCTTGAGAAATTGTGGTACAATCACACAATAGAATACTATGCAGCACTGAGAAGCAACAATTTTAAAAATTACTAACTTGGGAGCAACTGGAGAGCATTATGCTGGGTGAGCTAACTCAGTCTCACAAGGACAAATACTGCATAAGACCATTATTGTAGAAAGAGAAAGAGAACTAGGAGAATGTGTATGGGGATCCAGGTGAGGGAGGTTGTAGCAGAGAGGTGAAGATGGGAAGATAGGAAACCATTGGATGTACAATTTGTTGGGTGGAGAGAGTTGAGGGTAAAGGAAATGGGAAAGATCTGGTGGGGATCTGGAAAGACAGTATAGTGGTGAGCATAATTCAACAGTGATTAATTTTATAAAGCATAGTGGATGAGACTGATTATATGAAACACCGTGTGAATGAAGGATAGTGCGAAAAACAGCGTATATGAACTTTGTAAGCCAACCAATATAAAATAAAAAATTTAAAAAATAATTGTTTATAAGAAATGTATGTGATTGAAACAATGTATATAAACAATTGTACAAGATTGACTCATAGCTGAGCCCCAGCAGGTGTTCGGAGACAGTAAATCTCACAGCAGGGGCTTGCTCATCTTCCTTCAGTAGAGCAGCTGGTGGATTGCAACCACCAGGAAGAACTGACTGGTAGTTTAACCCTCCAGACAGTTTTCAGAAACTTTAAAGGCAGGGGAGGAAATCGCCCATCTTTCTCTTTGCGGAGCATCTGGAAGACTTGAACCACATGTCTTTGTGGCAGCACAACTCAGCGCTGACACAGAGAAGGCAGCCACATATTGCTAGCTCCCTCCTTTCATTTTGCAAAGACTCAGAAGTCTGCTGGTCACAGACACAGCTGAAGTCGATCCCCAGGACTGGAACAGAAGTCTGGTCCTTCAAGTTCTCAGTCAACCCAGGGCCTTGGAACCTGTTACTCAGGTTTCCCACACCAAAACAAACATAGCCGTGATTTATTCCTTTTCTTGACATTGGAAAGGGAGAGAAGAGAAAGTATGCATTTTGCCCACTCTCTTTGACTCACACACTACACACTATGATCTTTTTCTTGTTTTGTGTCTTCACGAAAGCCACATGTGGCTGAGTGCTGTGACCAGGTCCCTTCTGTGAAGGCTTTGGGAATACAAGCATGGCTCCCTTTCTGACACGCAAAGGTTTCAATATTACATACATGAATGACAGCCAAAGCTGGGAAAACAGCTTCCTTCAGGTGCAAATTGGATACCCAGGGTCATCGGTCAAGACCCTGAATGCCAGCAACCATGTTTGTTACATCAGCCAAGCATGCCACCTAATACTGCCATATTTTTCTGATTGGATAAGAAGGGACAGACAGAGGACAGTGGAACCCCAGCACCACCCTGGCTGGAGGGGAATTTCCATTTCTTAAGGCTGAGATCACGTGGGGTGATAAAAAGAGTGGCAGGAAGAACAAACTCTGCTCATTAAGAACCAATCTAACAGGCAGTAGACCCTCCAGCACTTTTCTAAGGCTGTAAATCACCCAGGAGGAGACCGCCGTGGAACTGCTGGTAGAACGGAACCAAAAGAGACGTGGGGGTGCAACCCCTACAGACTATGCCACCAAAACAGGAGAGACTCACACCAGAATAACATGTAACTGTCCCAGAAAGTTTCTGCCATTAAAGACAACCCTGGTAAGAAACTTCTTTCACATCACTATGGAATTTTCAAAGGACTATTCAAAGGATTTTCTTTTACCTCGCTAAGGTGATCTGATTTAATCTCATACTTCCTAATATTAGGAGTAAAACTCATTGTCAGTCAGAACCAACTCATAGCTAATCCTGTAGTACATTTTAAGAGATTATAAATCTGGAAGATTATCCACCTTTCTTCCAAGTAGCAGCTGGTGGATTCAAACCTCTAGCCTCTGAATTGGCAGTACAATTCATTACCCAATAGGCCACCAGAGCTCCCTTGGTTGGCATTATAGCTTCCCTTCAGCCCACTCTGCTAGTGATAGGTAAGTGTTTGAGATGATTCCCAAACAAGGGTCTATGGTCTTTTCATCATGGCCCCCCACAAATCACCACGCTGCAGGAAAGAAACATTCCAAGACTCGGATCGATCCACTCCTTCCACTTTAGGTTGAGCTTTTCGGCCTGTGAGGAGCGCTGGGGGGGCCAGTGACAAGGGATTGAACTATCAAGCCAAAAGCATTGGGGTTCAAATCCACCACTTGCTCCTTGAGAGAAAGATGGGCAATCAACTCGTGAGCGGTTTACCAACCCTCTAGAGAGAGAGTCAGCTGTGAGTCGGTCCCAACTCAACTGTACAGAACAAGGCGTGGAAAGTGTACAATTGGAGGACAGAGCCTCCAGGAAGAGGACGGGGCATTTGGGGCTGCCCCAGCCAGGACTCACTCAGGAAAATGATGGTCTGCCGCCTGGCAGCCCTGCTCTCCTCGCTCTCCACCTTCCTCAGCTGCAGCTGCCGCCCCTTCCCGGCCAGCGTGCCCTGCTTGCTCCTGGTGAGCACCTTCATCATGTTCCAGCACATGAAGGCCACCAACACCAGCACCAACAGGTAGATGATGAAGGCGCTGAAGATGCTGGACTGGAACACGGTCCAGCGGCTCGACAGGTTGGTGCAGATGGACATGTTGGAGGTCTCGGGCTTCTCGTGGTGGCGTGTGCGCGAGCGGTTGCAAGCGAGCCCCCGGTGGCTAGGCACGGTCACCAGCGGGTACTCTATGCCCATGGCGAAAAGCAAGGGCAGAGCCACCAGGGCCGAGGTGACCCAGACGAAGGCGATGAGCAGCTTCACCTGGCAGGGCCCGGACACGGCCTTGTACCGGAAGGGGTGGCAGATGGCCACGTAGCGCTCGAAGCTGAGCGTGAGGATGTGCAGCAGCGTGGCGTAGCTGCAGGCCTCGAAGAGAAAGGTGTGCAGCTTGCAGGACACGGCATAGCTGGGTGTGGTCAACGGGTTCCAGATGATGCTGTAGAACTCCATGGGCATGCCGATGAGGAAGACTAGGATGTCGGAGCAGGCCAGGCTCACCATGTGGTCCGTCACCTCCTTCTGCAGGTAGCCTTTCCGCTGCAGCACTTGGGTGACCCGGATGGTGACGCTGTTCCCCAGGATGCCCACCACAAAGATGCTCAGGTACAGCAGGCTCAGGGTGATTTTGACCCAGGTGGCCACCTCAAACTCGGGCACATGGCTGTGATCGATGACATGGGAGCAGTCGGCCCTGGAGTCACTTTGCGAAGCCATGAGCAGGAGAGACCGCCACCAGGTCCCTAAACCTGCTCAATGTCCCTACCTCTCCCGGGAGCGCCCAGTTCTCAGTGGCAGATCTCCAGCGTGCACGCCAAGGCTCTCACCCGCTCACTCGGTTTTACCTGCTATGGGGACAAGTACTTCGGTTTTCTTGGCAACTTCCTGGAGCAACTGAACCTCGCGAAGGCTCCCAGGCGCCTGGGGGTGGGGTGCTGGGTGTGTGTGAGTGAGCGAGGCGGAAGAGGGCGGAGGAACCAGGGCCACACTCTCCGGAGAGAGAGGCGCGCAGCCCAGGCTGCGCACCCAGAGGTCCACCTGGAGCTCCCTGCGCGCGCCGAGGGTATTAATGATTAACAGTCTTACACTGTGTCCTGCGGCCACATGCAGACCCAGTCCAGGGGCAGGGATTGACCCAACATACTAGCACTGTCCCCAACCACATCTTGGCTCCCTATCTCCTGATCAGGAGTGGGCCACCTCCCTTCTGTGGTCACTCTTACTGACCAGCATCCCAGGCAAGTACAGCTCAAAAGCTGAGGTGCGCTGGAGGCTTGGAATCCAGGGCCCGGGGTGGAGAGGTTTCCCCTCCCTGTTCTCGCAGCAGCCCCACCCCCTTCAGTGTTGTGGTATGGGGGAGCTGGAGGTGAGCGCCTCTCCCGAGCAGCTGGCCAGTGGAGCCCTCCCCAGACTCTTGTCTTTGGGGCAGTTGTGTCGTTCCCACTCTACTTGGCCCCTTAGAGCTACTGTCTCAGGAAATTGGTCCCAAGGTGGCTAATACTCATTGCCTTCTGGTTCATTCCAACACGTAGCAATCCTACAAGACCGGGTTTCCGAGACTTTACAGTAACCGGCTGCCACATCTGTCTCTCTCTGATAGGCTGGTGGACTTGAACCACTCCCCTTTTTGAGCACTAAATCGCAGCACCATCAGGACTCCTTAAAAAGGCTCAAGGGATTCCGATAAAAACTGCCTTTCACCCAAACCTTATTAAAGAGTTGTGTATGCTCTCTCGCTAGAGGGACCCAGAGAGCGCCGCTCTGTCCTTGGAGTCTCGCTCTGCCTCTGGCACTCTCCTGGAAAGAGTCCAGCAAGGTGTATATGATTGTCTACATTTTGCAGATAAAGAAATTGAGATTAAGGGGGTTAAGTGACCGTCTCAAAATGGTCAGATGCAGGATTCAAACTCAGGCCCCTCTAGTGGCAAAGCACTTTCTCTCGCACGATGCCCACACCTTGTGCAGGACTTGACTGTGCTGGTGGACAAACAGCATTTTTGGAAAGAGAGAGATTTTCAGTCACCAAGCCCAGAGCTCCTCCTCTCCCCCGCTGTGGTATGCCAGCCATCCGGAAATATATTTTATAATTTCAGTCTCTTCTGCTCAGACAAGATTTCCATTATTGTTCAATCCCTTTCATCAAATTTTTCTTTCTTTCCCAATGTGTGAACAAAGATTACAAATGCATGGCCAAATGGGGAGAATGGAACTAATTAAATTCGCTCCTTACAATTTGAACAAGAAACATACATTTTGAACAAAGATCCAGGAGAATTGAATTTTTCTTTCACTTTTGCTATTGTGCAGAGAGCTGTTAAAAATTATTCAATGTATGCACACCCATGTTTATCATGGCTTTGTTCACAACAGCAAGGAGTTGGAAACAACCTAAGTGCCCATTAACAAATGAATGGATAGAGAAGCTGTGGTAATATTCACACAATGGAATACTATGCTGCACTGAAAAACAAAGAACTCATGCAATGTTATTCAAAATGGGTGACCCTGTAAAGCAGGACTGACCTCAGGGTTGGGGGGAGATTGAGAAAGGTGGGTTCAATAATGTATACTGCATTAAAACAGATAAGGGAGAAAACTGTTTAAAAGGGATTTTGTCATGACAAGAGTCCAGAATGCAGGCTGCATAGTGGAGTGGACCTGGGGGAAGGGATTGTGAAACAATGAAAGAATTTTTCCTTTACTTTTCCAAGAGGGTAGTGTACTAGGGGAGAGGGTTGGGAGGGGAGAAAAGTGCAACAATGAATGAATGGAAATCCAAAGTCTCTGTAAATTTTCATTGACATTAATAATACATTTTTTAAAAAATTATTCAATGTGGGCTCATTTGTTGATAAAGATTGCTACAGAAGACATAGCACTTGGCCTGAGTTTGTATAATCTGGTTTTTTTTTCCACTGGCATCTTTTGTATCTCTTCTTTTCACTCCAGTTGTTGTAGATATCATTAAGTCAACTGCAACTCCTAGTGACCCTATGAACAAAGGATCTGAGTCCTGTCCTATCCTGCACCATCTTCACAATCCTTGCTATACTCAAGCCCATTGTTACAGTCACCTAGGTCAAGCTGTCTTGTTGAGTCTTTCTCTGACTCTCTGTCCTTCTTTTTCCAAGGAAACATCCAAGGAATATCTTTTTCCAAGGACTAGCCCCTCCTGATTACATGCCCAAAGGATGTGAGACAAAATTTCCTTATCCTTGCCTTTTGCACTTCTTCCAAGAAAGACTTGCTGTCTTTTTGGTGATCCCTGGTATATTCAATACTCTTTGGCAACACCACATCAATTCTTCTTCAGCCTTCCTTATTCATTGTCCAATGTTCCAATGCATAGGAAGCAATAGAAAATACTGTGACTTCGGTTGGGCACACTTTAGTCTTTAATGTGGCATCCTTGCTCTATAGCACTTTGGAGAGATCCTTTGATTTTCCATGACAACATATCTTCTTGTTTCTTATCTATAATTACCATGAGAATTGACTGTAAATCCAAGTAAAATGAAGTTATAGACAACTTTAATCTTTTCTCTATTTATGAGGTTGCCCATTGGTCCAGTAGTGAGCAATTTTGTTTTATAGAGGCCTAAATAAATTTTATTCACATTCTACACTATCTTGATAACCTGTGAACCTATCTAGGTCAGTAGACTTTACACCTTTGTTAGCGTGAAGTCTTACTTTACAAAAAAATCGGACACTATCAACCAAAGTAAAAATACGTGAATACTTTTGAAAGTATTAATACCCAAACACAACTATGGTAGTTTTGTAAATAGATTCTGTATGAGCAAATTAATATTTTCTTTTTAAAAATGTTTTATTTTATACTGATCTGTTTACAAAGTTTGTATTCATTGTGTTTCACACTATTCTTCATTCACATTGTATTTAATATAATCATTTCCATTCATTATGCTTTGTAAAATTAATCACCATTAGACTATGCCCACCATTACCCTATCTTTTCAGGTCCAAATCAGACAAAAACATTTGGCAATACCATTTCACACAATGGTCTCACAACATAAATTTATAGAGTACTACTGGACCACCACAAGAAAAAGACTGATAACCCAATTACAAAATGGGTAAAAGACATGGAAAGGCTTTACATAGGAAGATATTCAGGTGGCAAACAGATACTAGAAAAAAGGCTCAAAATCAGTAGCAATAAGAGAGATGCACAATGAGATAACCATCTCATCCCAGTAGCAGTGGCAAAGGTTAGCAGGGCAGTAAGCAATAAATGTTGGAAAGGATGTGGAGAGATAGGAACTCTCATACATTGTTTGCAGGATTGTAAAATGGTACAAACACTCTGGAAGTCAATTGGGCATTTACTCAAAAGACTGAATATACAAACTGCATGACCCAGCTATTCCACTACTGGGAATATAACTGAAAGAAATTAGAACTGAGGCACAAGCAGAGACTTGTACACTGATGTTCATATAAGCATTATTCACCATCACCAGAACCTGGAAATAGCCCAAATGTCCAATCACAAGCAAATGGATTGAGAAATTGTGGTCTATTCACACAATGGAATACTGTGTAGCACTAAGGAACAACAATGTCAAAAAAGACTACATAACTTGGGGCAGACACTAGAAAGCATTGTGCTCCAGTAAACTAACTCAGTCTCATAAGGACAAATACTACATAAGATCATTATTGTAAAAATAGAAGAATAACTAGTAAAAAATGTATGAAGATCCAAGAAGGAAAAGGAGTGGGAGCAGAGGGGTGAGGATGGGTAGGGGTGAAATCACAGAATAAGAAATATTTTTATTTTTCCTTCCTGATTTTAAATTAGATAGTATCTCCTTGTTTGTTCAAATGATTGATTCTTATTCTTTTCAGAAGTCAATAAACTCCTTTTACAATTGTTGTTTGTTGTTGTTAAGTGCCATTGAGTTGTAGGCATCTCATAGTGATCCTATGAATGAAAGACCTGGATACCTGTGTAACTTTCGTCCTTTCTCCAGATTCACAGGGTTTCTGGAGGCAAGCTATTACATAAATGGATGACACTCCTGCTTCCAAGCTTGTTTTAATCAGGGAGCTCCACCAAACCCTGTTCACCATGGGTAACCATTCTCACATTTGACACATTAATGTCACAGTGTTCAGGATCACAGCAACCATGTGTTACCTCTGCACAGCAAGAGGACAAGCCAGGGCTATGTGATCTAGAAGAATGTTTGACCAAGACCAATTATAAACAGGCCTGAAGGACTTCAGCCCTCTATCCCTACAGTATTTTAAATTTCCAACATGCCCAAATGATGGCGGACTCTGGGACAGAGTTCCCTTGCCTGACTGCCACTAAGAAGAGCCACCATCAAGACACCAGCCATCCCACCAGTTAGCCAACTTCCAGAGTGGAGGGAGACTCCAGTTTCCAAGCCTCTTGAAGGATTTTGAGCTATAGCCTGGGGCAGGCTCCGCCCTTACTTACCCTTAGTCTAAGGCTCAGGGCTCCCACACACTTTTGAAGTGCAAAAAGAATAGTAACATACAACAAAAAGGACCTCAGAAATTTCCATTGCCTGACTGCCACCAAGACGAGCCAGCATCGAGACACCAGGCGTCCCGACAGCGGACTTCCAGAGTTGAGGGAGACTCCAAAAAGCATATATAACACCTTGCTTACAAAGGCTCTTGGTAGAATCACAGTGATTGTGCATTACATCATTGAA